AAGAGTTGTCAAAGACTCCCACATCTGCTCGCAAGCCCAGCGGCTGTTTGGCATTGTTTGTTCGGAGCTCATGAGGCACAAAGCCTCTCAAGTGGAATTGACATGGTAGTTTCCCAAGATTAGGGGCAACCTTTTTGGCAGCCATAATAAAGGACTATAGTATTTGGGGGTCTACAATGGGGTTCCCTCTACCTAAACCCTAAACCCTAAACCCTGGAAACTACCAAATGGGTCCTCCTTTCTCAGCAAAGCTTATCGAGGCTGAGCCTGAGATTCCCCTAGGGTTGCATGCTTTTGGATACCCTACTCCAGGGGCCTAAATAATTACCAATACCATTTTGAAGTCCATTTGGGGTACTGTAGACTATAGTCGTAAGGAATATGGAGCCATAATATTGGTAATTATTTAGGCCCCTAAACCCTAAACCCTATCCCCTATATTATACCCTAGTGGCCGGGAACTGGGCTACGAACTTGCTAAAAATGCAAGGCTTTGCCAAAGGCGGAGCCTTGGCGAGAGCTGTCATGAGTCATGCCTGGGTGCTTAGCGTCCCCCTTCTGTAGATAGAATTTGGCTTTGGGTATATTATAATCAGATCACCATATACCCCCATCTTTTATCTACTTAAGGGGGACTATATCAAGAATGGCACCCAAACAATGCGCAGTCCTCACACTAAGCCACCCCAGAACCACGGGCTCTACCAGCGGAGACGAAACTAGAATAAAACAACACATCCTAGAATAAAACAACACATCCCCAACCAAGTTGCAAAATCCAGCCCTCCAAGCTCCCAGTCGGCCAACACCATCTTCCTTCTCTTCTTGGTTTGGCCCTCAGAAAAGAAGAACCTGTGATTTTGCAGAAGCCCCTGTTTGGGCCCCCAGCCCGGAAGAAACGGCGCCCCCGGGTTGGCGCGGGCTGAACGCGGTGTTGTCAGCGTTACCTGGGCGGCTCTTCTGCTTTTAGGCTCTGAGCCATAGAGTGCTTGGTCAAGGAGCGCTTATGCCCTTGTAGGGCTGTATACGGATTATATGGTAGGTTTTATTAAATGTCAAAAAGGGGTATGTGGGTGGGTTCAAAAGTATGTGTCCCTTCATTCAAAAGATTCTTGGGGCTTCAGAGCCTAAGAGATACCCATCCAGATCTAAAGAAGATGAGATACCACTCCCCACTGGGAGTAGCCATGTGCTTCAAGGCCTTCACTGGCTCATGAAAGAACTCCATATAAGCTATAGTCTAAACTCCTAGTATCCCCCTTAATAACCCCTATAGTAGTCCCCTATATAACCCCCCATTAAGGAATTTAAACTATAGCTCATATGCCATAACTATGGGGAACTTACCTCCCCAGAAGGACAAACCCTCGCCCTGCTGCCGGCTACGCAATACATGAAACAGCAATCCTAACCAGTTGCGTTCAATGGGTTGCATACAAGACTTAGCCAAGAAGTCTGAACGCACCCCACAACACGAGGAGAAAAAAGTCATTCCAAAAGTACCGACTCATCCTTTTGCACTACCTTCCCTTTGTTTTGGGATAGCTTTGAAGTGTACAGTGCACATCCCAAAAGACGGAGGATGCAGCAGGAAACATCAAACCCCGCAAGCCCGAAAACCCTCAAACATGTTGTTTAGGGTTTTTAGGGCTCTTGGGTCTGGTTCCTATGCGCCCAAAACAGAACAGATCCGCAGAAAATCTCTCGTTTGAGGACCCCAGCGTATCTACTTCGTAGTAAAGGGGGTTTGGTACTCCCAAACCCCCAAGTAGGGCCCAATCATAATCATGTGATAGTTGTACGTTCCTAACTTTGGGGGTTGCGGTTGCCAAAGTCCCCTAACTCCTGCGGATCTACCGGAACAAGCACCCAAAAAGGGAGCAAGATGGGACCCCAAACAGGGAAGCCCCAGAATATAGCTGGGAATATAATAGTATACCGTACACCTATCTTCCTAGTATATTTCTACTAGATTCTTGGGGTTCTCCTGTTTTGGGGTCCTCATTTTACTCCATTACCCTAAGCCCTAAACCCTGAAACCCGTTTAGCCCAGACTCTGTGGCCATGGCCACAAAGATCGCAATTGGCCCGCACGTTTCTCGGACCGGATGCTGTGGCGGAACAACTCCGTACTTGAAGGCTTGGAGGGGAGGAGGTAGGCACACTACGAAACACAGGGCTATCCTTATGATAGTAGCTAGAAGAGACTTCAAGTTATGCCCCACCGAGGATAAGGATTTTTTAAGGTGTCTCGATGACAAGAATACAAAATTCAGATTCTATTGGGTTTCTACAATGATTCTCTAGGATTCTACGTGTGGTTTCTGACTCGAAATTCAGATTCTATTGGGTTCTAGAATGAGTCTATAGGATTCTATGTATGGTTTCGGACTGGTTCCTCCAGGCTTCATGGTGCTTACTTTGGATCAGACCATGGGCACTGGCAGATCAAGGCTCATGGCTGAAAATAGTATACTATAGTATATTATAATTTATTGTAGTGTATTACAGTATATTATAGTATTTTTTTGGTGTAATAAAATCTGTTATAGTATATTATAGTATATTAGAGTATATTATAGAATATTATAATATATTTTAGTATATTATAATATATTGTAGTATATTATATTGTAAATCAATGGCCCAAGACGTCATCATGGTTTAGTTTAGCCCGTCATCCTCAGGCACCCACTCCATACGCCCACACTCCCCTAAGCCCCTAGACCCTAAACCCCTAAGCACAAGAACTTGCAAGCCCTCTATGATCTTCAGTCAGAGGGCTGGTGCTTCTGCTTCTAACATCAGGGAGAGTTTCGTAGTTGGTTGATCTGCTGAAAATCTACGTAGTGGTCTGTCTAATCCTATATGATCCCTATGTGATACATTCCCCGGTTCCCTATGTTATCCCTATATTGCGCCTACATAGTCCTTATATAACCCTAAACCCTAAACCCTAAACCCTATAACCCCATATTATACACGTAACGGCGTAGATTTTATGACCTTCAGGCGGCCACGCTTACACGGCACCCGGCGGCATGACAGGGACCCGAGATGGGTATGGCATACATGAGAGCACTGCCGCTGGTAGTGGTTATAGGTTATATTGGGGTTATGTTGGGGTTGTATCGGGGTTATATAAGGATTATATGGGGTTTATATAGGTAATGGAAAAATATAAACTACTGGCATATCACATGTCAGAGGATAGCAATTTCAGCATAGCAGCCCCAGTTGCAACGGCATAGACGTACTCTGCGTCTGCAACGCTCTCAACTGATTGTTTCTGGTAAGAATACCACAACTGTCCTTGTTCCAGCCGTCATAACTACTACGTACGCTGCTTTGTGAAAGCCCACGACTAATATGAATGAACTTCGTAACTCTCCTGGCACCACTACTCTCTTGCACAATGACTTCTCTCAGAGCGCTTCGAAGCTTCGGCAAGATGCTTCTTGCGCTGTGATTGGATGGTCTGTTGCCCACGCTCGCAGGGACAATCCTACTAGGAGCTAATGACTGAAGCTGCGCTTCCTGACTAACGTGTCTTCACATGAGCTATAGCCTAAACTCCTTGGAAAGGGGTTATGTCTATGAGTTATGGGCCCCATTTAATGGTAACATGCCAGTTCGCTGGACGCCAGTCCAATCCAATCGCAAGATTGAACTGTCCTGACATTCCTGGCCAACTTTTTACACGATCCAAGTGGGGCTTTGGCACGCAATTGGCTGACGATCAGTGATTAAGAGTGGCCGCCAGTACCTCACAGGGTGAGGAAGTCCGGCAGTCAGGTGGTTCAACGGCCTGCCTGCTGTGTAGGGAGAAAATTGTGAACAAGTGTACAGCAGGATGCTGCTGCGCGCATGTCCGCCGGCCGCTGGGGAGTCTCTGTGAGACTCACCTCGCAAGACCAACGATTTGAAGTGTTGCCACCTGCCGGCATTCCGTCGGATCTTCCTCTGGCCACGATTGACGCTTGGGCCCGGGGGTCGTTGTACGGATCAGGAGATTGCTTTGGGCATTCTACCGGGACCTCTGTTTCTAGAGAGTAGCGAGTAGGCATGCCTACCTGTTTCGAGGTTTGGGTTTGGGTTTCCGTAAGCAAGCCAACATTGGACCCCATATTGTAGCCCCTTTTTTGAGTAGACTGTAAAAGAGTTATGGGCCGCATTTAGTGGTTATATGCCAGTTTGCTGGATGCTAAAGATTCAACTGTCCTGACATTCCTGGCCAACTTTTTACACGATCCAAGTCGGGCTTTGGCGCTGCAATTGGCTGACGATCAATGATTAAGAGTGGCCGCCTGTACCTCACAGGGTGAGGAAGTCCGGCAGTCAGGTGGTTCAACGGCCTGCCTGCTGTGTAGGGAGAAAATTGTGAACAAGTGTACAGCAGGATGCTGCTGCGCGCATGTCCGCCGGCCGCTGGGGAGTCTCTGTGAGACTCACCTCGCAGACCAACGATTTGAAGCGTGAAATTTGAAAAATATCAGCGTCAGAGAGGGCGAGGCATGCCACCTGCCTGCATTCAGACGGATCTTCCTCTGGCCACAATTCACCCTTGGGCAGGGGGTCGTTGTACGGATCAGGATGTTTCGAGGTTTGGGTTTGGGTTTCCGTAAGCAAGCCAACATTGGACCCCATACTGTAACCCCTTTTTTGAGTAGACTGTAAAAGAGTTATGTGCCCCATTGGGTGGTTACATGCCAGTTTGCTGGATGCTAAAGATTCAACTGTCCTGACATTCCTGGCCAACTTTTTACACGATCCAAGTCGGGCTTTGGCGCTGCAATTGGCTGACGATCAATGATTAAGAGTGGCCGCCAGTACCTCACAGGGTGAGGAAGTCCGGCAGTCAGGTGGTTCAACGGCCTGCCTGCTGCTGTGTAGGGAGAAAATTGTGAACAAGTGTACAGCAGGATCCTGCTGCGCGCATGTCCGCCGGCCGCTGGGGAGTCTCTGTGAGACTCACCTCGCAAGACCAACGATTTGAAGTGCTAAATTTCAAAAACGTCATCGTCAGAGAGGGCGAGACATGCCACCCGCCTGCATTCCGACGGATCTTCTTCTAAACCTTGTTGCAAAAAGCTGGGGATTGACAGTCCCTTCACAAAATCAGCTGCCCTCCAGCCTCTGCAGTTGCAGATGTCTAGCCGTGCGCCGGCAGCAAGCAGGGCTGCGGCACCCTCGTACTGAGCCGATACCAAGGCCCACATGAGCGCCGTGCTTCCGGAGGCGTGATAGGCTCTTGTCGATCCAACTGTTTTTGTGCCGAACCGGTGCTTCAGGGCCTGGGCGCTGAAGAGCATGCGGCCCAGCAGGGTCCAGTCGCGGCGGAGGTTTCGCTGGAAGTTGACGTCCGCTCTCAGGTCGATCAGTCGCTGCACCATCTTGGCGGAAGCACCCCGACCGCCATCGGAACATGACAGTAGAGCCCTCGACGCATCAAGCGAAGTGGGGTGACAGTGTTGCAGCATTTCCTCCAGCGCTGCCATGCTTCCAAAAGCGCCCGCACAGTCCAACGCGTTTGGCCCAAGAAGATTTCTCGCCAGGGGCGAACTGCCCGCACAGCAGAGCAGACGTGCGCCCACCGCGTTGTTCGCGTTGCATGCCCAATGCAACGCTGGTCCCACGCCGCCCTCCATGTGGGCCCTAGCCGCGAGGAGCAGCTGTGCTGCCTCATTGTGTTTGTAGAATACCAGGTCCAGCGGCGACATCCAAAGGGGCAGTCCCAGTTGTGGCACATCTCTCGAGGTTCGCTGGTTTGGATTGGCCCGAAGCTGAAGCAGCCCTTCCACCACGTCTACGTTTCCAGAGAGTGCTGCGTAGTGCTTCGGCCGCCATCCTGCATTGTCAGCGCCGCTGACTGTGGTCAGCATGTTCTGGTGGAGGAAGGATTCCGCTGCCGCACTGTGTGGTCTCTCACGGCACTTGCAGAGAAGCCAGGCACGAGGTCCTTTATGGGCTCAGCCGCCAGCCCCCGCAGGTGCACTGTTTGTAGATTCAGCAAACGGCGGTATGCAGGTAGCTCCCGCTTCTGCAAGCACAACCGCAGCTTTCTCCGTAGCAAACTTTGCACTATTGGCGCAAGTCTATCTCGATCAGCTGCTATAGTGAACTCGCCGTCCCCCACAGAGTCGATGGGAAATGACAAAGCGGTGCCGACTAGCTCGATGGACGCAGAACTTTGAACTAGGATCCAGGTGTCGTGCACGGACAACTCGCGCGCGGCTCTCTCCAATCTGCACCAGCCGCGACAGCTCCATGTTCTGGCCGTGAAGACTTTGTCTTCCGTGGGACTGTCAATGACCGGGCAAAGAGCAAGAAAAAACCGACACATCTCCACGTAGGCTGGAATGCTGCTGATACACCTGCCTTGCTGGCTGCCGTCCGAATCATCCATTGCGCGGACGTCATGCATCTCCAGCTGTGGGCATGAAAAATAATCGTACCATATGAATAAGGGGCTAGATTGAAAAACGTGCATCGGAAGGGGCTTGGCCCGGGGCACGAGTGTCTCTGTTACGTAATCCAGAGGCACAGAGCCTAAGCCTGTCATGAGATGTCGCAAAACATTCTGCAAAATGCTCATCTGCCTGAATTCGGGATCAGGGTGTTGCTTGGCAACCCACTGGTGTGAAACGAAAATAGCTTTCCCTTTGTCAATTTCGAAGATGACGAGGTCGCCCCGAACCTGCAACACTTTACAAGACTCATGTGAAAGAACGACTTAACGGCTCTATCCTGCACCTTTGCCAGAAATAACTGGACCCGCCAGTGTGGAACAAACATAAGGCATGATCCAGGAGTTACGCATTCATAATTAATACAATCCCCAGTCCATTGCATTCAATTAGCGCGCAAGTCCTGGCAACCCTTTTTCCTGAAAGCACCGCAAAGGGTTCCTCGTCAAAAACACGGTTGCCTTGCGCACACCACAACACCTACACCGCTCACATACACCACACCATCTACACCGTGCACACACACACACACACACCACATCACAGCACATATCACGCGCACCATGCCACAGCACCTACACCGCTCACACACACACACACCACAGCACATACCTACACCGCTCATGTGCACCATGCCTACCTACACCGCTGCGCACCACGCACACGCCTCCATTCTATTTTCTCTTATTTTGGAGCCAGGGGGAGATTTGGGAGGCGGGATGCACCCCTTCGCTGATTTTCTGCGTGGAGCGCTCTCGCTGTGGCGCCGTGTCGAATGCGAACCCTCTCGCTGTTTTCGAAAGGTGCCCGTGCTGGCTTCTGTCCCTTTCACAGTTTTGTGCGAGTGGCAGCGCTGGCGAGATTTTTTTGTTTGGAATCGACGACCCTCTCCCTGTTTTCGGCGCGCAGCAGCGCTGGCGCGTGAAGCGTCCTGAGAATTCTGTTTGGAATGGACGACCTTCTCGCTGTTTTCTGAGGGTGGCAGCGCTGGCGCGTGAAGCGTCCTGAGAATACTGTTTGGAATTGACGAGCTTTTCACTGTTTTCGGCGGGTGGAGCATCCGCAGCTTTTAAAGAAGCGAGGCGGTTGGGAGCCCTCGGCTTCCTACTTATGTGACTTATGTGAGCTACAGTCAAATAATTCAATGGACATGGGTTCCTGTTTGGGGACAATACAAGGGACTACACTAAACTATAAGAGGGACCACTACGTCCACCCTTGATTTCCTGACCCGACTATTGACAAGTAGCTCATGTGAACACCTCATCCACCTGACCTTGTCAGCAGGAAGCCACCATCCACCAAACATAAGCAGCTAATTGCCTCACACGTCCTAGGCAAAAGGCCACAAAAGCGATTGGGAGAATCTCCTAAAACCCCTAGACCTCCTGAGCCCACAAACCCCCTCAATCTCTATAAATACCCCTGAACTCCTGAAGTCCACGTGCCTGTACAACCCTGCGAAACCGTCCAAAACCCTCCGCACATCCCTACAACATCTACTGGGTTGCTGTTAAGGAACTTAAATTAAGTTACCATAATGGGTATATATAGTAAATAATAGGGTTCCCCAATATAGTAACTTAAATTAAGTGCAACCCAGTCTACCTTAAGCCAAATACCTGCCAGATGGCCCCGGCCTTGAGCTCTTCATGCGGGCGGATCTCCGTCATCTTCAGCAGAACCTTCTGCTGAACATCACACGTTCTGGGGGACTGTAGGGCTTCGAGCTTACAACCCTGGAACATACCGCGACAATGGCAAGAGTTCCTATTCAGCTTGCGAGGTTGATAGAGCATATACCCCCAGTAGACATGGCAAGGGCAATGGAAGCAAGCATGTTGTTTCGGGTCGGCTTGATGGGGTATGGGTTATAGGACATATTACGGGCAGCGTATAGGGATGACTCTAGGCTTCTCCTATTCCCAGCTCAGCATAAGTTCCCTCCTGTAGCAGGACTTACCCTCCCCTAGACGAACATGGAGATCGTATGTAATGTAGTCTTTATAAGCCCCTTGTTAGGCTTCCATTTTAGTTGAGGGCAGGGTCGGCCTGGCAATGACAGTGGCTCAAGGGAACTAGGAATGCAGAGGCCTAGGAATTGAAAGGTTTAGAAGCTCACTGTACGCCTCCAATTACGAAGTGTCCATTTAAATATATATATATATAATATGATATATGTATAGAGTATATACATAGTTGGACCCCAAAATGACATGCGTGGGCCCGAGCGTCGACTATGTGCCAGCATGGACTCCTACGGATTTAGAGGACTTTCTACGGGACACCTTGCTGCAAGCCCCAATCCTCAACCTTAAGCCGCGCGCGCCTCCGCGGCAACTGTGTACATAGGGAAAAGCATCGGCGCGGCCTGGGGCGAGCCGCCCGAACAAGCGGCCCAACAACAACATCTTGTTTTCTGCCCAAAAACAAAGTTACCCATTTCAAGGGCTACTGTGGAACAGCCTCCATGATTCCTGCATTACAAAAAACCTAGGAGCCTACGATGTAGGTCACAGGTCCCTGTGCGTTGCTACATTTAAACTTGTCAGCGCTGCTGCCATCAGTGTTCCGGCGGCACTCTTTGGGACTTTTGGGTCGGGCCTGGCAGTTGCAGAGTTGAATTGTCCTGCTATCATAGGCCATTTCCGAAGCCCTGCCTTAGGGGCTTAGAGTTTAGCGTCCTTCTTAAAGTGTTCCCCTTGGACACCTATAAGTTGAAACTCCACTGTCTAGGAGTGTATTGCTTTGGGGTTAGGATTGAGTGCTAAGATAAATAGTGGTCTACGAAAAGAAGTCTTCAAGTGCTTCCCAAGCGACGCCAGCGGCATCAGACAAAGGGTTGGCATCAAGCTCCGCTTGAGTGGCGGAGCTGCGCGGCAGGCAACGGGACATGGCCGGCAAGAAGAAGGATAAACCCTGAAATCCATCCATCCTGAAGGTCAGATCCATAAATCGCGAAACACTGAAAGCTTCCAGCCCCAACTCCTACTTGACACGCCTTGTCAGCCTTGCTTAGCCTGCCCCCCTCATCCATTTACTCTGTGAGCCAGAGTGCCCTCACAGTGAAGGAGCGGAACCTTGCATAACCTCGTATATGCCAGACGACCATGGTTCCTAGGACAATTTGGTCACTATCCTACGGATGTCTGCACTACAAGTCTAAGGTAACAGGACAGGTAAAAGAAGTCATAATCCCAAGGCAAAACCTGAATGATTGCATTGGGGCTTGGGCTGTGCCACAGGGCTTGTATTAGTTAGGGTATACCTTGCCTATTTAGGCTAATAATGCCACCGCCAACCCATTA